AAATCGTGTCCACAATCGGCAGCGGCGGAGCAGCAGCAGCAGCAGCAGCTGCTGTAGCAGCAGGCAGCAGCCTGCCGCAGATTCCTGCCGTTGTCTGCGCCGCGATCCGCCGCCGCGCCGGCCGCGCCGCCGCCGCCTGCGCTCGCCGCCGCCTCGTAGACGACTCCTCTCGCGCTCGGAGAGCCGCGCAGCGGGCCGCGAGGTTGTGGTCAGAGAGCAGCAGGGTTGAGATCCACAAAATCGGCCAAATTTGAGGTTGCTCGAGAGAGCCTGGAATTGGTCCCGCGCCGTTGCCCCGGTGCCGGCGCATCACGTCTCAGCCGCGATGGGCCGGTTCCGCCGCGCAGTCGAGCAGCAGGAGCTCGGAGGCAACTTTGTCGACAAACTGGTCGAGTCAAAAATTGGCGAGGAAGCGGCACCGGCGGCACGCCGGGACGAATCCGGACTGATCACATTGTTCGGCACCGCGACGGCGAGCCGCCGCGAGCCCACAGGAGAGCTGGGCGCCGCGGCACCAGACCGCGCCGCCAGCGAGGCGAGAGCTGCAGCCGACCGGCCGTGACATGGCAGTTGCAACGGCGGGATCTAGAATTGTCTGCCCATAGGGGTGGTTGAGGGGTTGAGGGTTGAGGCCCCCCCTCAACCATCTGGTTGACGGTTGAGACCCCCCGTCAACCCTTTAGTTGGGGGTTGAGGCCTCCAGGGCCTATTCACAGGCTCGCGCGTGATCACAAGATAAACTGCTGGAACAGCCCCTGCCGCCAAAAAAACGCTTCGCCTGCGGCGCGCTCTTGCGCTCCTCGTACCTCGAGCGCAATCCATAAGTAGGAGACGCTCACTGTCGCCATTCAGGCGCCTGATCTTTCAGCAAAGCGATGGCCTACCTGGTACGAGTTCAGATGCGCGCCCGGCAGAAGACGCGTGTGATGCCGCATGCAGTGGAATGCGCACAGAGAACGGACGGCAAGAGAAGGCAACGCCCCGCCCACACCACCGCGGCTGACCGCGAGGTGCGCCCACGCCGACTCCCGCTCGGCGAAGGAGGCGTAGCGTGCCCCCCCAGGCGGTGTGTGGCTGCGGCCAGCATAGCCACGGCGCCGGCCGCCGGCGAGCGCGTCGGAGGCGGCGGCGTGGCCGTGCAGGAGGCACGGCGGCGGGCGGCAGCCCGGTGGCCAAGGTAGGAACAAATAAAAGTTATGATAGATTTAAGTAAAAGTACCAGGCCACATCCTCCCTGTCGCCCCCCCCCAGCACTCCACGGTGCCAGGAGACAAAACACAGGGCTCCAGGCCCCAAATGACGTGTGAGTGTTAGAGTTGTTTGGTATTGCTAAAAATCTCTCTCCCAAGAGAACAAACAAGGGCACAACAAACAACAGACGACAGGAAGTGACATGCGAGGCTAGACACTAGAGCAGCTTGCTCCACCTCTAGCAATCTCGCCGGCCGGCGAGGCACGGACGAGACCGTGTGTGGGGTCTAGTGAGGTGTCTATGGACGCCCTGCTCACAGGCTAGCTGCCTACTGCTAGCCTTATCTCGCACTCACGGGCAGTGACAATACTGACGGTCGGCCGGCGTCACGCCAATTCGCACAATTGTTGTCATAGGGTGGTAATCCACCTCGAGACCTCGAGAGAGAGCGCGTCCAACGCGCAAAACCGCCGCCCCCGTTCGGGCCCGCGAGTGGGACAGCTCGAACACGATCGCAGAAACGCTGCTTTGGCTCCAATGGGGAACGCAACCTCGGCCATCGAGACCAGCGGCGACTGCCACGGCACCGCAGCGCGTCGACAGAACAACCGTGACGTCTTCGGCGCGGGCGTGTCCGCGTTTCGGCAAGAGCTCAGCGGTGACGGGTGCCCCGCTCCCATCCCGATCCGCGAGGCGTCCATGCGTGCGCGGCCTCGCGTCGTCGTTCGCAAGCGCCCGCTGTTCGAGCACGAGGCCGCTCAAGACTTTGACGTCCTCTCGTGTCAGGGCGGCACCGACGTGTGGGGCGAAGGCGATGCGGCCGCGCTGTGGGTCACGCGCGCCATGCTCGCTGCCGATCACCGGACGATGTACTGCGAGCACCACGGATTTTACGCGGACGCCGTCTTTGGGGAAGCTGCGAGCACAGCCGAGGTGTACAATGCGGTGCTCGGCGGCCCGCTGCAGCACGGCTCAACGACGGTGCTGTGCTTTGGGCAGACCGGCTCCGGCAAGACGTTCACGCTCGCCGGGATCATCGACATTCTGCGGGAGGCGCTGCCGAGTGGTGGCGGCCGGTGGCGAGTGAGCGCCCTCGAGGTTGCCGGCAATGCGGTGACGGACTTGCTTCACGCCTCTGCTCGGTGTGTGCTCCGAGACGACGCCGGGCGTTGCACGCGCGCCGTGCTCCTCCCTGCCAGGGCGGCGGACACTGCTGGAGAGGGCGGCGCGGAGCCGAGCAGCAGCGGCGCGCCGTGCCTGCTCGTTGGAAGCGCCGCGGAAGCCATCGACGCGATCGTCGACGCGGCGCGCCACCGCTCGACGCACCGCACCGGCGTGCACGATGCCTCCTCCCGCACGCACGCTGTCTACCAGTTGGAGCCTGTCGACAGCGAGGGCACTGGCCGAGG